GAAGGGAAGGGAAGGGAAGGGAAGGGAAGGGAAGGGAAGGGAAGGGACTATCCAAAGGTGCCTCCTCGCCTGCAGCATCGTATCTCCAAGTTGCTCAGCGTTTCCCCACCCATCGAAAAGGACAAGGAAACCACATCTCTTCAGATGCTCTTTCCATTTTCCCTTCTCCACAGGTCAGGACGTGAAACCAGGGAGTTTCTGGCGTTTGACTCGCACCTCCTGGAGTACGTCACTGCCGCATAGGAGCCGGGGGGACGGGACATTGGCCACCCCTTTCCTGACGACTCAAAATCCTGTCTCAGGCTCATGTGGCTGCTTGGTCGCTTTTGCTACGGAAAAGCGCGAAGAACCCTGTGCACCCGTTCACCCACCCTTGCTCCGCGGCTGGAAAACAGCCCGGCGCTGCCAGGGAAAGCGAGGCAGAGCCCGGGACGGCTCTACGTGGCTGAGTGAGGGTCAAATGTCTCTAAAGAGACCTTTTATTGAGGTAAGGCGCCCTCCGTCCCCAGGACCGAGGGGCTGAGCGGCAGAGATACTTTAGGGAAAGGCAGCACTGCCGGGGGTAGCGGCGGGTCTCGGGTACGTGACTGCCGGCACCTGGACAGAGAGGGTGACTTCGCCGTCCTCTCAACTGTCGTTTGCAGCCCAGTCCCGTCGCAGGCTCGGTAAGCTGTTGGCAGACGCAGCTAGGGGACAGAAGCAGAAGAAGCCGCTTCCAACGCTGCCCCGCTCGCCCCACTCCGGGGGAAAGGATGCAGGGCCGAGGAGGAACCGGGGTCGGAAAGATGGAGGATGCGGGGACGGGGGGATCGTGGCTTTGTGACCCAACCGTGTCAGCCCCGCAAGGAGGGATACGTCGGGGACAGTCGGGTCAGCTGAGGAGGAGCCGGCGGCCCCGCGTCCGGACCGGCATCCCGCAGGCCGCTCCCCGCGGCTCCCCGCTCCTCTACTGGGTTTCCCCCGGCTCATGCTTGCCCTCTGCTCAGGCAGCGCCACCAGGGAAAAGGGAAGAGTGTGTGTGAGAGTGCCTCTGGCTGCCGGGGCCGGGCAGAGGCTCCAGCCCAGCCTCTCCCACCGGGACGGAGAGGTGGGTGCCCGCGTCCTGCACAGAGCCCGGAGCACAGCTCCGACGGCCCCAGGGGATCACCCCGCCGGCCCTCTCCTCAAGGACAGCACCTTACGGAGCACAGGTTGCACCCATCAGTCTCATTGCCCACCTCCCTGTCTTGTACCCCCTCCCCGGCGGCAGGACTCCCTAATCCCTGAGACTGGGGCGGGCGGGGACAGGACACCGCTGTGACTTGGTCAGTGGCGAAAAAACTGAAAACAGCTGAAAACGGGAGGGAAGGAAGGAAGGAGTGAAGGAAGGAAGTAAGGAGGGAAGGAGGAAGGGAAGAAGGGAAGGAGGGAGGGAAATTGCAGCATATCTTGATCATCTTGCTGAATTACAGTAAGGATTTACTTCAACCCGGGAGTGATTTCTCAGAACATGATTTGTTAGTTCAGTATGTTTTCGAGGCAAATATACATTCTTCTTTTTCTTCTTTTCATTTTCAAATGTTTGCGTTTGGGTGCTTATCTCCTAACCTTGATTTGAGTGCTGCAGTTCACCAGCACGGATCACCCACAGGTGCCTTCAAAAACTATTCGGCATTTCGGTTTAAATGCTCCGCCCATCCTTCCTCTCTCACTACTCACCTTGCGAATCACGGGGAGTCGTCTTCTCCGTGTTTCTTCAGACCCTTCCCGGACATTCCCTTTCGCGTAAGACAGGGGGCCGTGGTCTGGGTGGGGGGTGCAGGACCCGCTCCCGTGTGCGGAGCCAGAGGGCGCTGGGAATCTCCAGCCGCGCTCTCTGGAGGATGCCGCACCCCACCGCGCTGCTCCGCATGGAGCACCGCCTCCCGGCGGGGCAGAGATACCTATCCCAACCCTGTCCATCTCACCATCTCCCTCCCGGAAAAGGGTCGACAGCTGGATCTCAAAAAAAAAAAAAAAAGTTATTGCCCATAAACGCCCCAGCGCCCCTCCCAGTGGTGCTCGCGGCCCGTCCTCCCGCCGCCTGGCTCTGTCTGTGGGACCGGCCATCGGCTGAATTCCTGCCGGCTCCCAGACCAGTGGAAAACTGCCGGAAGCTGCCCGGCAGCTCTCACACAGCGGAGCACGTCGGGCTCGCGGCTGCTCCCAAGCCGCACACGGGGATGTGCCGACCTCCTCCTAGTCTGGGCTGGGGAAGTGCTGGCGAAACCCAAAGCGATCAAATACGGCGCCTTTTCTGAGCGTCCAGTCCCAGACAAAAGCGAAACAGTCAGTTTGGAATTTATTTTTTATTTTATTTGGAAATCTCATCCAGAAACACTGGTCAATAATAAATATATTGATAGTTATCAAGAATATATAAAAAATAAAGACACGGTGTTGTCTTTGAGGCCCCAACCGAAAACAAACAAACAAACCAACAATCGAAATTAATAATAGCATTATTTCAAGCAAAATCCCATGAAAAAGTACCGGAAAGGAAATAAACAGCAACAAAGCTTCCGATTTAGTTCTACAAGTCACTGATGTCGCAAGAGCTGACTCCGCATGCAAACCCAAACTATAGCAATGCAAAAAACCCACAAAAACCCCCAACCAAACCAAACCAACAAACAAAAAAAACCAAAACCAAAACCAACAACAACAAAACAAACAACAACAAAACCCCCCGAAAACAACAAAACAAAACAAAAAAACTCCAGCATGAGAAATTAGTACCCCAGCCAGCTGAACTAATACACTTCACCGAGAACAGGAGATAGGAGATTTGGCAAAACAGATCCGCAGGATGGTTGTGTTGTGGGGGGTTTTTTTGCCTTCACAGAGGGAAGAAGAAAAAGTACCGCAAACAAACCCGCATCACAACGAAATTTGGAGGAAACAAACAAAGAAAGAAACAAAACAACACCCAACCACAAAACCCCCAAACTATAAACCACACTCGAAAACTTCAGTGAATTGTCTCGGAAGTCCCTGTTGCCAGGGGAGCTGCCTGTGGCCGGTCCCCACTGGTGACAAGCTGGGGTGGGAAGCATGCATGCACTCTCTGGGCTACCTTGGGCCGCCGCTGCGCTGACGCAGCCAGGTTTGGAGCGGGAAATTTCGGAGGTGTCGCCGTGCGAAAGGAAAGAAAGGAAAAGCCAGGAAAAAGAAGGGGGGAAAACCCCAAACTGATCTCATCGTCTCTTAGTTGCGAAAACTACAACGACAACCATGTCTTTTTTTTTTTTCCTTTTACATACATTTTAAGGAATCATTTACATTTGATTAGCATCAGCGGGATTAATATTATTATTATCATCATTATCATTCTTTTTACAACAGGGACTTTTTTTTTTTCCAGTTAGTATAATAAGAAAACATCGCCCGAGGAGCTGGGTATAACATTACCTTTGCAAGGTCCTTACTACACTAATCCTGTGTTACAGGGGGGTTGGTTGGGCGGGAGGCAGCGGGGGCAGGTCCGTCGGCGGCCCGAGAGGGGGCCGGCAGCAGCCCCCTCTCCGTCCATGGGAGCGCTGCCCTCGGGGCAGCCCCAGCGGTCGGGGGAGCCCCACCGAGTCACTTCAGGAGGTCCTTGGTCTCCCCCGAGATCCTGGCCATGTTGGACGCGGTGAGGGCCGAGAGGTGGGGCGGGGGAGGCATCTGGCAGATGGTGCAGGGGCACGGCAAACCCGCCCAGTGCTGGAAGCCGCTGCCGAGCTGCAGGGCGGGGGGTGTCGAGGGGGTCTTGAGCAGGGAGTGTGGGGGCCGGATGGTGCCGATGGCCGGCAGGGAGGCGGAGAGGGAAGAGGAGGTGTTGGCGGAGGACAAGGCACTGCCGAGGATGGGGTGCACCTGGTGCACAGTGCCGGCGGCGTGGGGAGGGTGCCCGGTGGAGTGTCCCACCGTGCCGCAGTGAAAGGCCGAGTGGTGCCCCCCGTAGATTTCCCCGACCAACCTCTTCATCTCCTCCAGGGAGCTGGTGAGCATCAGGATATAGTTTCTGGCTAGCAGTAAGGTGGCGATTTTGGAGAGTTTTCTCACGGAAGGTCCGTGGGCGTAGGGCATCACCTCCCGCAGTCCGTCCATGGCGAGGTTGAGGTCATGCATCCTCTTACGCTCCCGACCGTTGATCTTCAGCCGCAGCTGCTGCAGGTCCTGCTCCGAAAGCTGCTTCTTGATTTTGTACTTGCTGCCTTCCCCTCCGGCCTTGGAGCCGTTCCTGGTGAGGCCTTCTCCGGACATCTTCTGCACCAGGTCGTTCTGGGTGGAGGAGACAGAGTTGAGCCGGCTGTCTTGGTGGTGGTGATGGTGGTGGTGGTGGTGGTGGTCTCTCAGATACATCTCATCCATGTCTGGCGAGGAAGCTCTGCTGGAGACAGAGCTGGAGTCAGAATTCATTGTATTCAGGCTTCTGAGCAAGAAACTCTTCCCTGCTCTGGAGGTGGTGGAACAAGACCACTCTCCTTCAAAAAGAAACAAAAACGAAGCAAAAAAGAAGTAAACGGACGGCAGGATCTGCCAGTAAAGGGCTGGAAACGGAGGGAAGAAGAAAAAAGCCCCTCAGCCCCCTCTCTCTTCAATCTCTCTCCTCTCTCTCTTTCCCCCCCGGTTACTCAGCCTGTTTACAGGATGGCTAGTTAGTGTATGCTTGGACTAACCTCAGCCTGAAAAAGAGGGGCTTTTATAGAGCTGCAGCAGAGAGCAGAGACAAAAGGAGCCCTCCTATGTATAATGGTCTAGTTAGGATGACGTGCCATTATTCAGGGCGGTGCGCTTTGACTGTCCCATTTAGCAAGGACCCCTATTCATATTCATTGTGGTGCCACCCGGGACACCTCAGCCACGGACCATCAGGAGTCAAGGAGACACAAAACCCCTCTGATTGACACCGCACACTCATCGCTCCGTGTGCGCTCCTTCTCCTCCCCCTGCCCCCTCATTTCCAATATAAAACCTCATCCCGTCTACAGTAGGAAGGCAGGGGGCTGCGAAGGGCTGCGCGCCTGCTCGGGGCCGTCCAGGAAACCCCAGTGGCGGGCGGCAGCGGGCAGAAGCCCGGGGAAGTACCCCCGCTATGGCAGGAGGACGGGGATGTTGGTCGCCCCCGTCCTGCAACATGCCCGGCTCCAGCCGGGGGTCCCCGCTTTGTTTGCCTTTTCCTTCCCCTCCCCCGGTCCTCCCCGGCCGGGGTGTGTGGTGCGGCACCGGCTGCCCCTCGCCTGGGCGGGCTGGCCGCGACTGCCTCGTACCTGGGTCGCTGCTTTGTTTAAATGAGCGATGATGACTCAGGCAGCCGCCGCGGGGAGATACTGGCTGGGAAACCCGCCTCCCCCCGGGCCAGTGACTCCCTTTAAATAAACGGGGAAAGCCAGGGTGAGGAGGAAAACTGATGTGCTTGGCGGCGGGAGGGGCGACTGGCAGCCCCAGGGCTCTGCGGCCCCGGGCTCAGTCGGGAGGGCGGTGCGGCCGGAGCGGCCGTCGGCAGGACCGACAGAGCCGGGCCGGGCCGGACGCAGGCGGGAAGGGAGCCAACTCGGGGGGCAGCGCTGCAAATATACCCAGGCTTTAGCGCCAGTAAGTAGAAGGGGCCCGGCACCGGGCGCAGCCAGCGGTGGCGCGGGGAAGGGAGGGGGTGTGTGGGGCAGAGCGGGCGGGGCCCCTGGGGCGGGTGTCACCTCCCTAGCTCTCGGCTGAGCTACTTCTCTGCCTCGGCTGCGGACTGAGCCGGCCTGGCCGCCTGCGGGGTCTGCCGGTCTGGGGAGGTGAGAATCCCCTCGCGGCGACGGCGGCGGTAGTAGCCTGCGTGTCCGGGGAAGGGTGTGTGGTCCTCCACTGGATCTTCCCAGGCCCCAGTGGTGCGTATGCGATGAGTGTGGGGCTGCCAGCCAGGACAGGGCCTGAGCCACCGGCGTCGGACGGGCTCTGGAACTCCCAGAGCCGGCCCTGGTGCCCCCCTCCCTCGTGTGAAACCGGCGGGCCGAGTGTTCACCTTCCAAAGGGCGTTTAGGGCCCAGCAGAAATCTCCTTGGCAGCACCTCTCTCCTCCATAGTGTCCAGGCCCCGAGGAGGGCGAAGAGTAAGGAAAAGAGGAATATTTTCGTCCGGCTGGGTCTAATTGTGGTTAATCTGCTGAGAAAAATGAAAGCTTTCTGATTTCTGCACTGTCAGTAAATCCTGCCGTGAAAAGAAAAGAAAAGAAAAGAAAAGAAAAGAAAAGAAAAGAAAAGAAAAGAAAAGAAAAGAAAAGAAAAGAAAAGAAAAGAAAAGAAAAGAAAAGAAAAAAGATTTAAGAGAATATATTAAAAGTAACTCAACGAGACCTGGGCTTTATCCCGCTTTCACCTCGAAAGCCACAAACCCACTCTGACTTTTCCTCAGCTGACAGGTTTGCCAGACATACAGGCAGGAACCTTGGCCCGGCCCGGATCCCACAGTGCCGTCCGCCCCCGCCGAGCCGGGCACCGCCTGTCTCCTCTTCCCGCGGAGCCGCTCTCCGGGTGGCTCCCGGGGGCTACCCGCTCCTCCCTCAGTCCTTTTCTCCCGTAGAACCGGGGAGAAGCAAATGAATAAAATTGATACGGTGACAGCAGCAGCGGCATAACAACGCTCAGAATACGGTGAAAACCCCGGCTCCGGGGCGGGAGGTTGTCAGCCCTTATCCCCGCGTCCGCCGCTCCGGAACAGACGCGCAGCTCGGTTTGGGGAAGTTCGGGTCCGACGGGGACATAGAAGATGAAGGCGAAAAGATGCCGTCGAGGAAAGCAACAGGAGGGGTCCCATCCTCCCCTCCGGCAGGGCGGGCTGCTCCAGCGAGCCCTGCTCCACTCCGGGCTGGGGGTTTCATCGGGATGGGGCCGGGGGGCGATCCAGTGCAACCAGTGCATCGCGGAGAGGAGAGGGGCTGGCGCTGGGACGAGAAGTAAGGGTCGGCTCGTGACTCGAAGGAATATTGCTAACAATTTTCTCTCTCCTTTCCCGACGATGTCGCTGCTCTCCAAAGCCCCCGTCTCGGCTGTGCGGGCCGGTCCCTCCTGCACTGCCGCAACATTCCCCCCACGGGACGAGGCGGCTGTCCTCGGCTCCGTTCGGGGTCGCCTTAGGACAAAGGAAGGATTTGAGAAAGTTACGCGAGGTTAAATCCCGGGCACATGGAGCCTCATCAAAGAAGTCGTTTTGGAAATGGGCAGCACTGTTCCAGCGTGATTGCTGGTCGTAACATTGCCTGGCGCGTCCAGCCTCTCCGTGCTTTCCTATGCCGCTTTTACTTTGATGATGCTGGGGAGAGATAGATGGAGAAGGAAGGAAAGAAAGAAGGAAATAAAGAAAGAAAGAAGGAAGGAAGAAAGGAAAGAAGAAAAGGAGGAAGGAAAGGAGGAAAGGGGAAGAGGAAGAAAGAAAGGAAGAAAGGAAAGAAGTGAGGAAGAAAGGAAAGAAAGAAGGAAAAAAGAAAGAAAGGAAGAAAAAAGGAAAGAAAGGAAGAAAGGAAAGAAGGAAGGAATAAAAGAAAGAAAGGAAGGAAGAAAGAAAAAAAGGAAGAAAAAGGGAAAGAAAGAAAGGAAGAAAAGAAGGAAGAAAGAAAGAAAGGAAGAAAAA